GTACGGACTGGAATGCGATTGGCATTGCCTGCCCTGTTGAAGTTTCTCTTATTATCTTTAAAAAAAAATCTAGACATCATAGTTTATGAAAATTCACATGCATTAAAGAATTTAGCTTCTCTCTACACTCAGTTAAAGAGAGGATAGCTTTCAGTCAAGTGGGAGCAGGGAGAGTCCCGCTGAGTCTTGAGTCAGGGATATGCAAAGAGGTTCAGTCAATTCCTAGAACTGCCAAATGCTGAAGATCTCTCCATTTATTGACGAAGCTATCTTTCTCAAAAAAAGCCTTCCTTAAGTCAAATAAACCAGAACTCGTTGGATATAATTGATGCTCAGGGAATTTATTAGTTGAATTGCATTATCACTCAAAGAAGCATAGGGAGAAAGCAATTTGGAGGTGTTACAGGTCAACTAGAAACAAGGTAAACTCTTAGCCTTAGAGAATTAAGATTTTTTAAAACTTATAATCATTTTGGAATATTTATGAGATCATAAAGTTAACGCTGAAGTGCCATTTAAAAATCTGTTTTAACAGTTGAAGAACAGCCCATCATTTGTACCTAGCCACCTCCGTTCCATATGCCTTGTCCTATTGACTCTGCATCCACGGGAGCTCTCTCAAGTATGGATTCTCTATGCAAAATTCAAACTGTTTCTTTTCAACACGTTTATCAGCACATTTGTTTTTGGCTTCTTATTTCCCAGAGTCTTAAGAAGACGGAAAAACAATTATTCACCTTTGCTCAGAATCACGCTGAAATCTTATTTTTGTAGGATATGTATTTTTAGGCTGAAGTGGGCTGATCCCATGACTGGCTACAGCCTTCTTCCCTGGTTCTGCTTCTCGGCTACATCAGCATTTCCAAAGGATGGGAGGGGCGGGGCAGGGGCTGCGTTCTTGACTGGTAGCGCTTGGATCCACATTAAGGGCTAAGATCAGGATAGTGGCTGTGCTTCAATAGCATAAGCAAACAAGTTTGTTAAGACTTTAGTTTTTCTTAGTTTACCTAGTGACAGCTGCCACATTGTGCATTTGATTTACAGAACAAAAAAGAAAACAGAGAGATTACCATTCACCTAGTGTAGGCATAATTCTCACCATATTCCCCAGTGGATGGCGGGTGAAGATTTGATCCTAATGTTTGTTCAGAGGTGCCTAGGCCCCATGTGCCTCCTACCTAGGTCCTTCATTTATGTATGTCTGCTCTTATTATTTTGTATGTTATTGCCACCAAATGCAAGTTGGATAATTCATCTGGTGTTCTGCTGAAGAATAACAACCCAATTTTACTGCTGGAGTAAAAAAAAATTGTCTACATTGAATTTGAATGTTATACTGTGGTACCTTCTGGATGATTTAAGATATTTTCAAGGGTAATTTTAAGTATTCTTGATTGTCACTTTTGTGCTGCTTTTGTATTCAAAAGTGCATTGTGACACCCTTTTTCATGACAGAGAGGCTCAGAGCTGGAAACGAGGGACAGTGCATTGGTGGGAGCAGAGGCTGTCAGATTTCGCTGTGAGGAGCTGGCATTAGGAAATGTCCTGTCCTGGTCTTGGGACTCATAAAGCATGTTAGGTGTCTTGCCTGCAGAAGAGCAGGTCTGGAGTAGGGATGGTGTGTGGACCGTGGAGGAAGCCTGTGCCAGGCTAAGGCATTTGGATTTGATCCCACATTCCACCATTAGTTTATCCAGTAAGTAAGACAGGGAGGGCCCCGTCTCAAGGAATTGACAATTAAGCTGGCTACCCAGAGCCCTTTGAGGGTTTCAGTCAGGGGAGAGACCTGGGTGGGTCTGTTGTATATTCACACATACACATATACACAACAAATAATTGCAAAAAATACATGCACTTGGTAAAAATACCCAACAATTCAAAAGGGTATGCCTGGTCCTCGGTAGACATAACTATTGTTATCTATTTCTTACCTATCCTTAAGAGATATTCTGTGCACACATATTGTGTGTACACATTCTTTATATTGCTCTCTTTTCATTAACAGTGTATCATGGAGTTCATTCTAAATTACTTCACAATGATCTACTGTATTCTTTTAATGGTGGCTGAGTTGATTGTAATGTAGGCATCATAACACAGCTGGTCCTCTACCAATGCACACAGAGGTTGTTTTACTCTCTCTGCTATAAACACAACTGAGGTGCCAATTCTTGGGTGCATGTTTGTCCACACATATCCAAGTGTATCTTTGGAATTAATCCCTAGAAGTGGGGTTGTTTGGTAACAGAGGTTGTCCATTTAAAATATGCTGGCTATTGCAGCATTGCCCACCAATGAGGTTGTATCAATTTCTCACAAATAAGGGATGAGAGTGTTTATTTCATGACACGTTAAGCAGACTTTCTGATCTTTATAAAGATTCCACATAAAAAAAGATGATGGAAGTTGATCACCACTTCCTGTGTTTAAAGGCCGAGTTGCAGTTCTTTTTCTATGGGCTGCAATTTTAGGTCCATCCCTAGTTTTCTGTTGTGTTGTTACTTATATTCTTATTGATTTAGGAGTGCTGTTTACATATTAAGCAAATTAGCTTCTTTCCTTTTGTAAGTGTTGTAAATAGGTTTTTTTCTAGTTTCTCATTTGTCTTTTGATTCTACTCATGCTTCTGTTGCCCTTCAGAAAGTTTCTTTTTTGTCTGCTAGATCTGTATTTTAGATTTATGTTGTGAGGAACTGAACCAGGATGAGAAGAGATATTGGAAAGATATTTTGGAGGTGGAATGGAAAGGCCATGAAGTATCCTTTGAAGCTATGAAAATGGGCAACTTTTGAACTATTTTTTAAGAACTGAGTAACAGTTGCCTAAAAATAAACTTTGGGTTTTCTCCATAATTAATGCAGAGGAGAAAGAAGTGGAATCAAGGAAACAGAGAAGGAGGTTTGTGATCCAGCAAATGCTGCTGACAAATGGCTGTGTGTGCCTGAGTCTCAAGGCTGCCAAGACTTCCTGAAATAGCCCTTCATCCCTCTGGCCTTGGTCCCAGCCATAGTCCCAGGCAATCTGGGACTGGTGGTTGAATGGTTATTGTCACTGATTTTGAGCTTTGTCCTGTATCTTAGTCAGATTGCCTCTAAAAGACAATTCAGAAAGTGCATCTTATTAACCTGGTGATTGAAATTATCTTTTAATTGAAAATCTTAATCACAGCAGCAACCTGTGGCATATTAATGTTCCCCCCAGCCATCTTTTTCTTTCTCTGTTTGTATTTTTTGGTAAAGAGACCATCTAGAAGCTGCAGGTCACGTGTGTGTCATGAAAGATGCCCTTGACTTTGAGAACTCATCTGAAATCACAAACCTCATCAAGACTGAGAACTTTGAGGCAGCACTAGCTCTTCATCTCTACAGAGGAGGCCGGCTTTTGCAAGGTAACCCTCTTTCTCTTTGAAAGTGAAACACGAGGAATCATGAAAACCAGAAGCACCTACAATGTCAAATAAGACATAGATGAAACAGTTTATCCTGTTTATCCAGTTCAAAAAGGGTTGGTTCTTTCTACAGAGTAATTTTCTAAAATGATCTAAGTATGCCAATTGGGATGATGGTTCTATGTGAAGGCTGGTTTTAGCTTATTAATTTATCCTGATTTTTTTTAATGTGTATTTCCTAACTCAAAGTGCAACTTTCAAAAGTTAAAAATAGGACTCTTACAAATGTAGAATGTGCCCATGTGAAAATTCTTATTCAGCTGGTTTATTAACGAGGGAACCACTCATATGCTAAAGCCAGCTTAAATTATATTTGAGGAACTGGGCATCACATAGGCAATTTGGTAAGGACTGTTAGAATTAGGCTGCAAGGTCAGCTACAGAACTCATCAATGTCCAACGGGGCAGTGAACTGTAAGCTTCGGGGCTGTACTTTCTAGTGGTGTATTAGTCAGGGTTCCCCAGAGAAACAGAACCAAAAGGATAGATAGACAGATCAAGGAGATTTATTACGGGCATTGGCTCACATGATTATGGAGGCCAAGAAGTCCCATGATCTGCCTACTGTAAGTTAGAGGACCAGGAAAGCTGGCAGTGTAATTCAGTGCAAGTCAGGAAGCATGAGAATCAGGGGGCTGACAGTTTAAATCCCAGTTTGAATCTGAAAGCCGAGAACCAGGCATGCCAATGTCCAAGGGCAGGAGAAGATGGACGTCTCAGCTCAAGCAGAGAGAGTGAATTCGCTCTTCCTCTGCCTTTTTGTTCAATTCAGGCCCTCAGTGGATTGGGGGGTGTCACCTGCCTTGGACAGGGGGATGGTGATCTTTCTTTCTCAGTCTACAGATTCAAATGCTACTCCCTTCTGGAAACACCCTCACAGACACACCTGGGAATTGTTTCCTGGCTCTCTGGGCATTCCCTGAGCCCGGCCAGGTTGACTCATAACATTCGCCTTCACAGCGGCACAGAAAAGTTCAGTACTTGACCCAAAGCTGCAAAACATTTCATGTAACTTCACCTAGTCTGAGCTCTTAGTTAACAGTAACTACTGAAGTCAAACACCTTCTCTTAGGAAATTACCTAATCCATGGGGAGCCTTTACACTCCCCTTCCTGGGACGTGGAACAGATGTGCATGCAGTCACCCATGGCTTTATCCACAGTTTTTGGATATTTCATATTAACTTTCCAAGTCCAGTTTGACTTCCCTGAGAGCACAGAGGCCAACCAGGGAAGGCAGGACAGATAAATATAGCTGTAGCTGAGCAATGAGTGGCTTTTTCCAATCATGAATAAAATGACACGGCAGTGGTAATGTTTCAGGAAATAGTATGTCATTTGAGGACCAAGATTATCTACAGTAATCATCACACTAGGATGAAACTTGAGTCAGCAAAATGTGTCAAGCCTCTGAAATTTGCTGAAGTTTCATCGATAAAGGTGACTTTCTGTTTCTGAACACTCGATCCACCCTCCTTCCCTCTCCCAGCTCTGCTACCTGAACCATAGGAAGATGGGGCCTCTGACCCTCTTTTCTATACAGGCTCATTCTGGGGTCTTTATGGAAGTTAAGTGTCACTTATTCCCAAGGGTTATCTTTCTGAAAGTCGCACTCTCTCTGAGAAGCATAACAAAAGCTCTAGAACTGTTGTCAATACACAGTAGTGTGATGTACCTTCTGGCCTCACTTCACGGTGTCACGGAGCTTCTGGTACCAGCTCTGCGTGCTGAGCTGGCCCCCACACCCGCGCAGCTGGCTGTGTGTTCTTTCCTTCTGGGAAGGCACCACAGGCTATGAAGACACTCCTCTGTTGGTTACACTATATTTTAAAATATATAACACTTACTGTTTTTTTTTATTACATAGTAGATGGTTTGGAAATTTCATAAAAATACAAAGAAGAGAATATGACACATGAAATTTCACTACCCAGAGGTGACCACTTTGTGTATGGGTGTGTTTGGTTTTTTTTTTTGTCATCATTAATATACAATTACATGAGCAACATTATGGTTACTAGACTCCCCCCATTATCAAGTCCCCACCACATACCTCATTACAGTCACTGTCCATCAGCATAGTAAGATGCTGTAGAATCACTACTTGTCTTCTCTATGTTCTACTGCCTTCCCTGTGCCATCTACCCCCTTTATTATGTCTGCTAATCATAATGCCCCTTTTTCAC